GGCGGGGGGCGTCTGCTCGCTCTCTCCTTCTTTCCACGTTTTTTCCTTAATGTTTTTGGGAGGAGAGGGGGAGGAATTCTTGGGGAGAAAGAAACAAAAAGGAGGATTAATCGCATTTTTAATTAGACGTGTTGCCCGTTATCAGGTAAGGAGGAGCGTGACTGACGCAGGGAGACCCAAAATCCATCTATTTTTATAGCAGAATATTAAAAATATCCCAACCCCCCCCCAAAAAAAAACCCCAAAATCGCCTTTCCAGAGGGGGTGAGAACCTGTTTTGTGCTCCCCAAGTTCCTCGGAAGGGGCTCGTGAACCCCAAGTGTGGTCAAGGCAACTTTTGGGGGGTCAGTGGCACTGAAATTCCAGGGATTCCTCCCCAAAACCGGGAGGGAGGGGATGTGTCTTCTCACGCTTCCCCCCCCTCCCGCCTTCCCACATTCTCCAAAATGGGCATTTTTTGCCCCAAATTTCTCCGTTTGCTGGAGTTTGGCCACTTGGAGCCTCCTGTCCAAAAAAAGAAAAGGGCGGAACCCCAACCCTCAAAAGCCCCAACCCTGAGTTCCCCCATCCTCCTTATCGTTGTTATTATTCTTAATTATTCTTAATTATTCTTCTTATTAATTATTATTGATATTATTATTATTATTATTGTTGTTATTATTATTATTATTATTGCGATTCTTATTTATTTTCCCTTCGCCGTCGGGATAATTTCTCACTTTTCAGTGGTTTATTTCCCATTTATTTCCTATTCTTCCCTGGTTTTCCCCAATCCTGGTACTCCCCAGGACCCTCTTTTTTCCCCCCCAGACCCTTCCCCAAACCCACCCCTGCTCCTGGTTTTTTTGTGTCGTGCCTGTGTGAAGCTTCTTGTAGTTTTAATTATTATTAATATAAGTATTTAGGAGCGACCCCCGTGTCCAGATCCGCCATCACACCCCCAAACTCTGACCCCCGCTCCCTCTTCCAGGGATCCAGCCCTGGAATTTTGGGGAGGGGGGGCCAGGGGACCCCCAATTCAGTAGCAATAAGGGGTCCCCACCTCAGCCCCGGCCCATTTTTGGGGGGCCCAACGCGGGGACAAAACGTGCCCGGGGCCCCCACCGTGGCACCGCGGGACCCCTCGGAGGGGACCGGGACCTCCCTGGCCCCCACCCCTGGACTCGACTCTTTGTATTTTTCATGGAAAAATCAATAAAAAAATTTAAAAGTCAGAAATGTCTGGGATTTTGGCTGGGAGGGCACATCCTACCAGGAATGGGCGGCTGAGGGAGCGTCGGCCATTTTCCCCTCACGTTTTCCCGCTCTTTTTCCCCTCACGTTTTCTCTTTTTCCCCTCACGTTTCCCCCTCTTTTCCCCTCACGTTTCCCGCTCTTTTCCCTTCACATTTCCCGCTCTTTTCCCCTCACATTTCCTGCTCTTTTCCCCTCACATTCCCGTTATTTTTCCCCTCACATTTTCCCGCTCTTCTTCCCCTCACGTTTCCTGCTCTTTTTCCCCTCACATTTCCCACCCTTTCCCCCTCATGTTTCCTGCTTTTTCCCCTCACATTTCCTGCTCTTTTCCCCTCACGTTTCCCACCCATTTCCCCTCATGTTTCCTGCTTTTTCCCCGCACACTCCCGCTCTTTTCCCCTCACATTTCCCGCTCTTTTCCCCTCACGTTTCCCTCTCTTTTTCCCCTCACATCCCCGTTATTTTTCCCCTCACGTTTCCCGCTCTTTTCCCCTCACATTCCCATTATTTTTCCCCTCACATTTTCCCGCTCTTTTCCCCTCACGTTTCCCACCATTTTTCCCCTCACGTTTCCCACTCTTTTTCCCCTCACGTTTCCCGCTCTTTTCCCCTCACGTTTCCCGCTCTTTTTCCCCTCACGTTTCCCCCTCTTTTCCCCTCACGTTTCCCGCTCTTTTCCCTTCACATTTCCCGCTCTTTTCCCCTCACATTTCCTGCTCTTTTCCCCTCACATTCCCGTTATTTTTCCCCTCACATTTTCCCGCTCTTCTTCCCCTCACGTTTCCTGCTCTTTTTCCCCTCACATTTCCCACCCTTTCCCCCTCATGTTTCCTGCTTTTTCCCCTCACATTTCCTGCTCTTTTCCCCTCACGTTTCCCACCCATTTCCCCTCATGTTTCCTGCTTTTTCCCCGCACACTCCCGCTCTTTTCCCCTCACATTTCCCGCTCTTTTCCCCTCACGTTTCCCTCTCTTTTTCCCCTCACATCCCCGTTATTTTTCCCCTCACGTTTCCCGCTCTTTTCCCCTCACATTCCCATTATTTTTCCCCTCACATTTTCCCGCTCTTTTTCCCCTCACATTTCCCGCTCTTTTTCCCCCCTCACGTTTCCCACCATTTTCCCTCATAATTAATCAAACCCCTCTAGTTA